TTTTGCACGAAAGAAAGAAGAAATAATTAGTTGGAAGTGGCAAAGGGAAAGACGACATCTACGAATAGATAATAACAAAGTATGTGATGGAATAAAAAGGAAATGGTAAATTAGAAAGGGAAAATCGAGGAGAAAGAAGCTCAAAATCAGAGTCAAAGTATGTTCATAGGTGAATTATGACTTTAATGCTGAAGTATATTCTTGTAATGGTTTATATGGTTTGCAAAGCTTCTCCCTATTTATCCGATCAACTTGTGGATTTTGTTTTTTTAAACCATCCATAAAATCTTTATGCAACATGATAATAACAGTAACCTCGAAACATCATATATGTAACGTCCTTAAAAATTTCCTCCCTCCTCGTTAGATAAATGATCTATAATAATTTTATGTGTGTTTCAGCTCCCATCGGCTATTTAAGTAAAAGGTCGTGACGGCGAATGTTTTTTCATTTGGCTTTTTTATTAATTTGGGTTACGCCGCGACGGGCAAATAACCGTAAAATCTCTAAAAATATGTGTAGGTATCACCCTCTCCAAAAATGTCCTGTCCGCGCACCAACTTTCTCACATTTCTTCCAAAAAATTACGATCGTGTAGATTCCTGCCAGTGGTGGGGTGGCAGCAATCCCTGCAAGATTTTGATCATTAATATTATATCGGTGTAGGCAGCAGAGTGATTTTAGTAATAGTATTAATGAGGAGGGTGACAAAACTCGAAAAAAAAAAATGCGAAAAAATGTCCGTACAGTTTGACGTACAAGTACAAAAAGAGTATCTTAATCGTAGTTAGGTGGAATTATAATACGTTGAATGTAGCTGTTGTTGTTGTTGTCTATTTCTTTTTTACTTCTAGAATTTACAATAAAGTGTTTGACACATATTGGGACCGTGCAAGTTCGGAACAGCGACACCTGGTGTCGTAAATCAGCAAAATTTACTGCGCTTTCATGTTAGATCGAGGTTACTGGATAACTGTCAAGGACGTAGCCCCAAAAAAGAATAAGAAGAAAAAGTAAGATTGAGGTTATGTCAGTATGTTATTAAGAGGTAAACGTTGTATGTAGTGTAAATACAAATAAATATATACATTATTAAATTACAGCATTACTGTTAATATGGATGCAATAATAAAAACTGGATTTGAGAAAGTAAATCACCAAATAACTTTTCAACCAAGCACTGAGTCAAAGGGAAAAGCTTTAGTAGTGGCAAATGTCAAAAAAGAATGGAAGAATTATGTGGAAGAATTAAGAAAAATAAATTACCATAAATAATGCTAAGGCATAAATTAGCAGGTTGGCCCATGATATCATCATATTGGTTTGAACAATTAATTCTTTTCCTGTAAACTTTTGGACAGCGAATATATCTTAATGCATCTTCAGAAAAACTTGAACTTGATGCATTTTTGTAAACTTCAAAAAAATAAAATTTAAACATTAAACTTGATTTTTGGGTTAAAATGAACTCTAAGTGAGTGTTATGAAACTAAAATTTACACTTAAAAGTGAACTTTTATTTATTATATATTTCAAACTGAATTTAACATCGGGCGCAAGAATACCTAATGCATAATTTAGGTTATGTTACTTATGCTTTTTTATGATATAAATCCACTTTTCTCATTGTAGTAGCTTTGTGCTTCGAAGTTGGAAACGAATAAAACTTAAATTGACAATTTTTTGTTGTATTTTATAATTTATTAATCTTAATTTATTAACACAGCATTTCCTAAATCCCATTTTCTTCAGTGACAGAAAGTTTAAATAAACAAACGAATATGAAATATGACAATTGACAATATGAGTTTATGAAATCTATGAAATGTGCAGTAAAAAATGCAAGATTTCTCCGCTACTCGCGCACGATCGTTTCTCGTATCCCCTCCAAGTACTTGCACGTCGCCAATAAGACGTGTAGAATACCAAGGGATACAAGAGCATTTTTGGTAATTTTGAGAAAATCAAGTTTGAAGTTTAACACCTTCCCTAATTTCTGTCGGTATAGTTTAAGGAAGATATAGCATTCTGAATATCAAATGGTGAGACCTCAGAAAAAAAGAATGTGTTGTTAATTGTCATAGTTGTGAAATCGTAAAAGGTATAGTTATTGAAATGTTTTAATAAAGTGTGTTTGATTGATGCACAAAAATACTCACCAAATTTGTTTGCTATGTGTTCTGGATGTATCAATAATTTATTATTATCAGTAATACTCCACTCAACATTGTTTTTATTTTTACCAGTTTGACGATTCACAGTTTTCCATATCTCCTTCCTTCTTTTATTATTGTTTTGATGAATTTCAGTATGATCCATTTTTTGTTGGTATTAGTAGTTATGCGTTTTGATATTAAAGGACGCTGAAGAATTTCAGTATTGATCCATTTTTTGTTGGTATTAGTAGTTATGCGTTTTGATATTAAAGGACGTGTTGTATCAATATGATAGGAAACAGAGTTCAAAAAAGCTCTATATGCATTATCTACATTATTTGAATATGTATAAACATTTTCGAAATTCTCAGAATCAAGACTCAACAAAAGATTAGACAAACATTCTTTGATAAGGTTCTATAAGTAGCTATCTGGGATGTTGCAGTATTGTTACTCTCAGATATGTTTAAACTAAAATGAAGTCCTAGATGATCACCTAAATTGTAGTTCACGACAGCCTCATTGTATAATTGAGGAATAATGGTAAGAAAATAATCTAGTTTCGATCGTGAAATTACACCGTTTTTGTTTGTAAATATTCTAGTTCAGGGGTGCTCAAACTTGTACTGCTGGCGATCTACCTCAATATTTTTAGACTACTTACGATCGACTCTGAGAGACTGCAAGTGTGTGTGATGCAGGGTTGTCGTACATACACGATACACCCTACCTACCTAGGTAGGGCGTACCGTAGCATATATAAATATTAGCTTTTTGCACAATCTAGGTACAATATTTTAGTCAAGGTTTGGGTTAGGTTTAGTTAGGTTCTTCTCTACAATATCAATGAAAAAACTCATAGTTATTCAAAATTGCGAGTTTATTTGTTGTTACAAAACAAAAGAGTTACATATGGTATTAAACTTAACTAAGGAGTGGCTTTGGATGTTGAAGCGTGGCACTGCATGTCCTCAGCATACTTTTCATAAGATGGTACGTAACCACTGAGTGCTAATGGCAAGCATGATGTCATATGATCGTCAGTTAGTCGATTGCGATATTTTGACTTATAATATATAATTATCTTCATTTCAGAAAATGCAGACTCGTACAAGTAAGTTGACCCAAAAAATGCCGTCAGTTGAAGGGCGATTTGCCTTACATTCGGATATTTATCTTCAGATATAAAACGCCAGAAATTTGTATCAGATACTGTAGCTTTGAGATGTATATCTGATATAATCTGCACCAACTCATTTTCAACAGAACATGAGTTCATATTAAACTGACTTGCTATTTCAGTAGCTAATTCCTCAATGTTTTTACATGAAAAAGGATAACTCATAAATGATGCTATATTTTCCAATTTACTGCAATCATAAAAACGCATTTCGAATTATCCCAAAATATTTGATAATTCAGCCTCATACGTATCATAATTCAACTGAGGCATCCTTGCTTTCAAAGACGGAAAATGTTCCAGGTCTTTTCTTTTCAGTTGATCTATCATAAGTTGCAATTTACTTTTGAATGCGTTTACTGCGCTAATCATCTCAATAAAAGTTTTTCCTTTACCTTGAAGCTCCAAGTTAACGGTGTTTAAGTACATTGTGATGTCAGTCAAAAATGCCAAATCATTTAGCCATTTTTCGTTTTTCAAAATCTGAGTGTTATCACCTCTTTCGTCTAGAAAAGCTGTTATTTCGGGCAATAATTCTTGAAACCTTTCTAGGAATTTTCCACGACTCAACCACCTGACGTCCTTGTGAAGAACTAAATCAGTGTGTTCAGCTGCCTCCCTATCTTCCAACTGCAACTCAAAGAGCCGCCGTTGCAAGCTACGTGCACGGATGGAATTCACAATTTTTGTTGCAATGCCCATAATTTCCTCCGTGTTTAAAACTTTTGAACACAAAACTTGTTGATGTATAATGCAATGGAATGAAAAAAATGAAGGGAATTCTTCATTAGCTCAACACAATGCCACAAAACCGTTTTTGTTTCCAGTCATTGCTGGTAGCGTGTGTAGTAAGATGAAGGAGGAAATTCCTCCTTCATCTTACTTCAAAAATGTAAGTCAAAAACAGCTGTTGTCGTCGCTGTATGTGGTAACCATGTTTTCTATTTTAAGTATTTGATGTGAATTATACATATCTTATGTATAAGGGTTAGACCCAAGATCTGTGGCCTAGAGAGCCCGATCGTTGTTTTTTAATATGTTGTTTGTCCACAATTTTCCTTTTATGAAGTATTTATTGCCTAATTGACGATAGCTCTGATGATGACATTTATTATGTCGAAAGTATACTCAGCTTAATTAATAAATTATTTTACACACTATCAATTTTATTGAAAACATACAAAACCTGCTTACCAGTTAGACCTATTTAGAAGTGTGTACAAGTCTTACAGTCTTTGTCAATATTTGTTTTTGTTTTATACTTTTTGTACTATTTGACTGAATTGTTCAATAATTTTCAGTGACAATAAAGCATATTTCTATTCTATTCTATTTTAAATAAAATAACAAAAAAAAATTCGTTATAATTGCACTACTCTTTAGGAGTGTTAGGATTTTTTAAAATTTTTGTAATCATAGTTAAATGTAGTATCTTTGAATCTTCCCCCTAAATAAAGTTTTGTTTTACACAGCCCTACACGTGTAGTGTTTGGAGTTGGCGATAGCCTAAATAAACTCCTCTAGGGCTTCAATCTTCCCCAGCACGCCGCTGTCGACTGCGAATAATCAGGTCATGTATGGGCAAAACGTGCAGGGGCTCGTCGCAGTGAGCCTGCGCGGGATCGCTGCATCCAGACTCTGGAGTCTGGATAGTCGTTTTTTCAGAGTTGAACGTGATCCACGAATTCCCACTTTATATCGACTAAATTGGTGCTAACAATTTTTGTATTTATTTAACAAAGATAACTACCTATTTCTAAACAAAAACTGAGACTAAATCTAAAATTTAAGACATTTATACACCAAACTAAATAATTTTTTGAGATAAATACATCGTAGATAAATCAATAATCGAATAATAAATATATAACATATAAAAAACGTAATAAAATTTTTTTGGCTAGAGCAAAGACATGAAAGAGTCTTCTTAAAGACCAAACTTTGTGCTGCTATGGACATGTAAGTTTTTTGTTAACTTAGAGAGCGATCATAGGTGCCTATTTAGCCAATAGTTTATTAGATTATTTGAGATATTTTTTGCACTGAGAAATTTTTTAACGAATATTTAAAAGATTGTGGGGCCAACGAAGTGATTGAATATTTTTATGGATAAGATAGCAACATTTATATGTCTTTGTTATTAATATATGTCTAGAGGGTTGTAACACCAACATTTTTTAAGGTGAGTAAAGTATGGTTATGTAATGTTTTTTCTTTTACAACTTCTTGAAACTGTAGTAAGTAAAAGGTTTGTTCTTTTAATGGCTTGAAGATATTCGAATTTGTCAGTATATGCAGTTGATTTATTTGACATATATCTTTCATTATTTAGGTAGAGATTCTGCTTATATATTCCAAACATTTATTAAATTTACAGCATATTTTTAAGGCATTTTCATTAGTATTTAGCATGCATTTATTAATTAAAATGTTATAATGGAAAATATAGACAATTTGATTAAGGGTTGGCTTTTTTAAAATTTTTAAATACTAACTATTTCTTTAGTATAAATAAGTCATTATTTAGTTTTATATGGATATTTTTATATTTGATATTTTAGTATATATATACAGGGTGCGGCAGATAAAACAGCCAATTTCAAATATATCGAAAACTAAAAGTAACTGAATTATGAAAATTGAAATGAAGGGGTTGTGAAGAGTGACCTATAAAATGAAAATATTTTCATCCATTGGCTTCTTCTTCTTCTTCTTTTCCTTCTTCTTCTTTTCTTCTACTTTTTGGAGATCTTTCGATCTGTTTAATTCTGAAGCTGCCTCTGGTTAATTTCCTGGGAGGAAGATTGCCTCCTATCTATTCCTCCATCTTTTAGGTGGTCTTTTTGTCTTACATGATTGTACCACATACTCTGACGCTGCCTTTCCTCTCTTACAATATCTTGAATTTTGCACTGCTCTCTAATGTTATTATATTTCTCACCCTGTCTCTTCTTGTTTTGCCCACTATTGCTCTGAGGGTTTTCATTTCGGCAAGCCTTAGCATCTGTTTCATTTTGTTGGCATCTTTTCGCACTTCTATGCCATATGTCATGATTGGTCGTAAGCAAGTTTTGTAGGTTCTAATTTTACTATCTGTGCGCATACACGGATTTGAACAGACTATCTCCCGCAGACATCCTGACAATGCAAATGCTTTGTTCTTCTGACTTCTTAGGTCATTTACTGAGTCGTATGTGCTTGATATCTATGCCCAGATATCTGAATTGCATCACCTGTTATATGGGGTTGTTCTCAACCACTAACTTACATCTGAGCGGATCTTTTGCTATTGTCATACATTTAGTTTTGTTGGTAGAAATGGTCATATTTAGTTAGAAGCTTATTTGAAAGAACTGAAAGAGCTATCTCTGAAGATCATCTTCTGATTCGGCAATAATTGCTGCATCATCTGCGTAACACACCATACCAATTCTTTTGTTGCCCATTCTGTATTAAAGATTGAGAGATGGAACTTTGTTTGTAATTTTGCCCATGAGTAGGTTAAATAAGAAGGGGTTTAAACTATCGCCTTGTCTAATTCCTCCCGATGTTGGAATATTTTCAGTGAATTGGTCTCCTATCTAACTTTGATTGCATTGTTATTATTTAGGTTATGGACTATCTTTGTTATGTTGATCGGTGTTTTATTTTCTATTAATATATTTAGAATGTCTTAGAGGCGAACCCTGTCAGATCAGTGAAGCAAATAAACGCTGACGCTATTGTTGTTTTTAAGCATTTGTGATTTGAATTTCAAATTTGTCCTTAAGAACACTCGTGAGAAGTTTCATCGTTCTATTTAAGAGGGTTATTCCTCTGTAGTTTTGTGGGCAAGTTTTTTGTCTTTTTTAAATATGGGGATTGTGATGCTCTTGTGCTATTCCTCTAGTGTTTCTATGTCGTTTAAGATTTTTTAAATAGTTGTGATAGTTTACTTGCAAGTTCAGGGTCTCCATATTTTAAGAGTTCATTGGGTATACCATATGTTCCAGGTGATTTTCTGTTTTTTAGCTTTGCTTCTACCTCTTCGTCATTATTTTAGCACTTATATCTGCTTCGTATTCGTCTATATTCAGCTGTTCTTCAGCATCATATAGCTTCTTAATATGCTGTTGCCATTTCCTATAGGTACTCCCTTGGTTTGCACGAATTCGTTAACTGGTTTTTTTCTGTTCCAAAGCATTTTCCATACTTTCTTTTTAGCCCATATAGGTCGTAGTCCATGTAGCTGGTGAATTTAGCCCAATTGGACTTGGACATATTCTGCGAGAGCTTCTTCCAATTGTGTGCTTTTATATCTCAGGTAGCATTTGTGTTTTAATTCAGAGAGTACCTTTTCCTCTTCATAAAACCACGGTTTGGTGTGGTTTATCTCCCTCGTGTTAATTTTCCGCTTTCCAGTTGCTTCTTCTGCTGCTTGGTTGATGCATTTCCTGATTTTTTGCCAAGTATCTTCTACTTCCCATTCTGGTTGTAACTCGATCTCTTTTAGTTTGCTGGTAATCCTGTTCTCATAGAGGAGTTTTGTACTCTATGTTGCTAGCGACTTCTGTTTCGTTGCGGACGTTCTAGTAGCATCTTCCATAAAATAACGCTGTGATCGGTCCCCAGGTTAGCAGATGTTAGGGCTCTGACATCAAGTACTTGTGACGGTGTTATCATTCGATTTGTGATTATAAAATCTATCATTGATCGCTGGCCTCGATTATTGTTAAAAGTGTATTTATATATCTTTATGAGGAAAATATGTGTTATTGATTCTCATTTCATTTCTAGCGCAAAAGTCCAGTGCTTCGCCGTTTTCATTAATTATTTCTTCGTTGTACTTTTGTTTTATACCTGGTATGACATCTATTTGCTATTTCCGGTTATACTGGAAGTTGGGTATAACTTCGTTTTTTAATGGGACACCGTGTATATTTTTTAATTTTACAAATATTCACGTTATTCTGAACATGTTTTGTTAATACTTCCCTATACCTATTGTAAACCATTTTTGAGATATTATTGTTTTTATATGAAAATTACACTTTTCTACCATGTATATAAATTTCAATATCCTTTAAAATGTAATTTGAATAAAAGTTTAAATTACTTATGAACTTATTAATCAGATACAACATTATCGTTTACAGTATAAAGTTGCCTTTTGCGATATACAGGGTGTTGTCAAAATTGGCATAAAACCGACATCCTAAATTTTCGCCTAATTTCTTTTTTTCAAAATGGGATACTCTGTATGTGGTTTATTATTTTAGAAAAATAGATTTTTCACTATCGATTTGTATTAGTATTTCTTATACATATCCCTTGCAGTTTTCAAATTAATTACCTTTATATATATACATTTTTTCACAGACTATGTTGTGTTAATTTACAACTTTTATATTTTAAGTTAAGCATTCTTCTTCTTATGGTGCCCTATCCAATTAATGGATGTTGGCGACAATTCTGGCATACTCCTCTCGATCTTGTGTGGCTCTAAAGAGTGCATGGGCATCATCGAGGTTTGTCCAATCCCTTATGTTTTTAAGCCATTAGTATTTCATTTTTCCGATCTTCCCTTCCATAATAAGTTTTAGGAACTGGTACTTGGAATTTCGACATATATGACCCAGATAAACAGTTTTTTTCTTTTTATTATTGGCAGTAGTTCTTGTTCTCTGCCCATTTGATTTAATACTTCGACATTTGTTGTGTGATCTGTCTAGAGAATTTTAAGTAGTCTTCTAAATACCCACATTTTAAAGGCTTTCAATCGTTTATTCACATTGGCCTTTATGGTCTAGGTTTTTACACTTTTATGCTTTACTAGCAGTATGGAGTAAATGTAATATTTTACAAAAGCGATATCAAAGCGTTAAGTTAAGGGTGCTGTTGCTTAGCAAGGTTCTCATATTAGTAAATGCTGTTCTGATTTGCTCAATCCTGCTACGTATCTCTATGTCTGGATCTAGATTTTCAGGTATCCAACAATCAAGAGATCTGAACTTGGGGACATTTTGGATGTTCTTATTGTTTACTCTTATATTTAATTACATATTTCGCATTCTACTAACCACCATTACCTTCGTCTTGTCTATATTAATCTTCAAGCTCAGTCGTTCTCCTTCAGTGTTTATTCTATCTATTAGTCTTTGTAATACTTCTTTGCTATCAGCTATTATGACTGTATCATCAGCATAGCGAAGATTACTAATAGTCTGTCCATTGATTTTGATTCCATCTTCAGTGTCACGTAAGCTCTATCGAAAATCGTTTCAGAGTAAAGATTAAAAAGGAGGGGTGACAGAACACAACCATGTCGTACACCTTTTTTATTGAGAAATATGATGTAGATTCCAGTCCTACTCTCAAAGATGCCACTTGATTCATATAAAGGTTCTTTATGATTTTAAGGTCATTCTCATCTATCAAACGTTCCTGTAGCAATCTTACTAATTCTGAATGATTAACACAATCGAACGCTTTCTGGTAATCTATAAAGCATGGGAAGACATATTTTTGCTGATCTCTGCATTTCTGAAGTAGGACAGTTAAGCTATAAAGTGCTTCTCTTGTGCCAAATTCTTGTCTGAAACCGAACTGTGTGTGCTTATGTCTCTTTCACATCTGTTATATTCTTGTGTGAATTATCTTTAAGAAGAGTTTTAGCACCTGGCTTAATAAGCTGATCATTCGGAATTGGTCGCAACTATTAGCGTTTAGCTTTTTTGGGATTGGTATAAAGGTAGATTGAAGGCAATCTTGTGGTATTTGACCGGACCCATAGATGTCATTAAAAAGATCTACCAAGGCGTCTATATTGTCTTCACTCAACATTGTTACAACCTCTATGTATATGTCGTCTTCTTTTAAATGTTCGTCATAAATCATGAGAGCAACCATTTTATTATACTTCACAGAAAAAAAAAACAAAAAAAAACATTGAACGAAAAGAATGCTTGAAATTTACTATC